ATTGTCTGAGCCCAGAAGTTCGAAACTAACCTGGGCAACACAACAAGACCCTGCCTCTATTTTTACAAAATTAATTTTAAAGAAGAAAAAAAGATTTTTTTTTAAAAAAAGCAAGGGTAAGCGTTGTTTCTGTTGTGTATGTGCCTCCACACTCACATAGACACACGTGTGCACCCAGCCAAGCAGTGAAACATGGAAGCTCCAGGCCTAGGTGGTTTCCGAAATGTCTCTTTCCTACCAGAACTCTGACTTTTGTCCATAGAAGCTGCCTGATTTGTGCCTGTTTTACCACCCTGACTGTCAAGCACAACTAGAGGTTTTATGGTTAAAACAACAAATCATAAGCATCTACCACCCCGTCTAAAACCTTGGTGTCTCAGCCGGTTTGGCCTTCTAGCCGAAATGGGACCCGCACTGGAGGATGGCCCATTTAAACGCTGACCTATTTAAAACCCACGAGCACCAAAAACACAGGGTCACTTGGATTCCAGCTTTTTCTTCTGTGCAAAGATGGGAATCTGGAACTAAGTTGATTGGGGACTGACATGGCTCAAAACAGAGATACAAACATTTGTCGAATCCTTGCTCAGGGAAGGACAAGGAAACCAAGGTGAGAGTGAAAGACAAAATGAGGCATGGATGTGAGTCTCAGGCCACGTTTTGAGCACACTGTCCTTGGCTTCCCAGCAGATGAGGAGGCCTGGAGTCTTCCACAGTGAAACCTTGCAGTCTGGGCGGGGGGCCCTCACATCTGCTGTCCTGCCTCCTGTCCCTTGGCTGGACATGACAGTTGAGATGGCCATAGAAAGAGGGCCGTCCAATGACCTTCCCTAGGCTGGGGCTGCTCTCAGTATGCTCTTAGTTAATGCAGCCCTTGGTGGGGGCTTTGATGGTCCCTGGAGGAGCCCAGAGAGGTGAGATGGGCCAGGGAGAAGCTGGGCTTGAGCTGACCCTGGGAACCCGGAACCTGCCCGCTGTCTGCCTTCCCTACTGCTCGGCAAGTTCTAGAAAAGTCACGGTATCACCCTGAGCGTGCCCCTCTCCACCTGTCCCTAGGAGAGCTGTTTCAGGTCCAGGCTTTCCATTTTAACCAGGGCCAGCGTCACAAGCATGTGACCCACGCAATGCATGCTTCGGTTAACACACGATTGTTGTCGTCAGTTTTGGAGCAAGCGTCCCCTGTTCACTCTGTGCTTGGCCCTGCACATTCTACATCTGGTTCTGGCTTTGATGTGTCCCTCTTGCCTGCCCTCGGCGTGCTGGCTCTGTGGGGGGGTGACATTGGAAGATGCACTCTGTCTCTACCTCGGTCCTGCTACCTGGCGCACGAGACTGGGCTTGTTTACTTACTGGTTGCCATGTTCTCCCAGCCATCCACCACGCCTCTTGCTGGCAAGAACCCTGACCTTGGCTCACTGTTTCTTCTGCATCCCCTTAGCCAACGGTGTCACAGGAGCACCCTGTGTGGAGACGGCTGGAGACCCCGTACAGAGCATGGGGTCAGGGCAGGGGCAGGACGCACAGCTGACCTGCCTCTCTGAGTCTTGGGGGGAGGAGTACAGGATACACTCCAAAAATGTTGTTATTTGTAAGAGCTAGTGTTCATTCATTCCATGTTTACTTGTGAGACTATATATTTCATGGTAGTTGGACCCACTCCGGCTGGTGACTCCTGGCCCCCCAGGCTGTGCCTGGCACAGTAAACAGGACATTTGTCAAGCATGAGCTTCAGTGTCCGCGCCCTGCTAGGCTGATTACGGGAAGGACAGTCCCTGACCTCTAGGAGGATCGGATGCTTAATACACGATTAAATGATTCATGCGGCAGCTGCCTTGAACGCATAGGGCGCCTGGGATGGCCTTGCTGAAGGGGGCATGAGCGAGACTCACAGAGCTGGGCAGAGGGGTAGGGAGCTGGGTGGAGGGGGGCAGGAATGGAGTTGCTTGGAGGCCATGGGGAGGAACTTGACTCTCCCCAAGGCAGTGGGAAGCCAGGAGTGTTTTCCAGGCTGGAGTTTGTTCTTGACTAAAGGCTCCACAGAGCTCACCATCTCCTTTCTATGGAGGCAGGAGCCTGAGGCCTGGGGGGTAGAGGCTGGGGTCCTTCTGCCAGCTGGGTCCTTGGCCTCCAGATTGACCGTGGGCTCAGGTTGAGGGCTCTTCCCTGAAGTCCAAGCTGCCTCCCCACAATTCTAGCCTCGCCGTCAAAAAGACCTGGTGTGGACGTAAAAGCAGACTTGGAGTAACGTGAGGTGACTGTGTCCAAAACTGGCTGTTGGGATGGAGAGGAAGGGTCACATATGAGGACTTCATCAGCTCCTTAGAGCAGCCAGGTGTTTGTGTTTGTCACAGCCGTTTCTGCTTTCATCTGTGGGAAGTGCCCCCCCCTTGTGGTGAGGCCCATTTTCCAGAAAGTGCAGAAGCTCTCAGTCTTGGGGACCCTCCGTGTCTCCCCCAGACCTCACTTGTGGATACGAGGGCTCCTCTTGGGGGTGCACCCTAGGGAGTCCATCCTCGGGGGCCTCGGCCCGGCCTGTGCAGGCCTTTGTGGCGCAGGGCAAACTCCTGGTACCAGCACAAGGACTGCAGCGTGCCTGGAGAGAGTAGCCATATTCGGGTATTTTTAAGTGGCCGGTGGGATCGAGAGGGAGCCGAAACCCAAGTACACATTTTCAGTTTAATTTTAACTCTGCACTCAGCTCACACCCAGGACTTGGCAGGGGAAGTGGGCCTTCATTTTTTCTTTTTTAGGCAGAACACACCCTGGATGTACAAGGGATGTTCTTGTCCCGTGGCGGGCTAGAGCTAAGCCGGGGGAGGCGTGTGGGTCTTCTAGGGGGAGGCCTGGGCTTTGGAGCCCTGTGGGAGGGCTTCTATGAGCCTGTTGTGGGCTGGTGTTGGGGGCGTGTCCTGTTGGGTCTGTTTCAGGCACTGTACGTGTAGCTCCCCTGCTGTCCCTGGGCCCATCACCCCACTGAGCAGTGGACTTTCCCACATGGCTTCTTGGTGTCTGCGGCCTCTGTCTCTGCGGCCCAGCGCCTCCTCTCCCCTTTGATCTCCCCCCACACGGTGCTGAAACCAGCCAGTGAGGAGACACAGAAGCAGTGGGGACCCCCCTTTAGAAAAACGGGGCTTTCCCAAGGGAGCAGAAGCAGCCTCTTGCCATCTGGGGACGGCAGGGTCCGGGCCCCTCCTCCCACGTCACCAAGCCAGGGCTGGGCTCGGCTCTGAGTTCTGGCTGCCCAGGATGTTATGACCGCTGAGTGTAGTGTCCACCCCGTGGCTGGGACAGTTAGAAGACAGGCTGGAAGGGACCAGTGACAGTGTGACCCCTTTCCTCACCCACCATACAGGTCAGAGCACTGCACCTGTGGCAAGAGACAGGTGAACTCAGCAAAAGCATAACTAGCTTATCTCTTCCAAGTTCATATGGCACAGGAGCCTTGAGAAATGAAAACCCCAAGATGCAGGGGAGACTGCCTGTGTCCTTGCTCAGATCCAATGCAGAGTGGGCAGCCGCGTAGACATGTGATTGGACAGAGGGTGTGATTTCATGGGCGCCTGGCAAGGCATGTCTGTCCAGATTCTTCCTGGTCTCTGCTTATCTTCCTCCCAGGCAGGACCCTCTGGAACAAGTGTCTTCAGTGGGGAAGGGAGTGGGGAGAGAGTGGCCTTTCTGGACTTGCTGGCTGCTTTGGGGGAGAGGAATTCTGGTTTCTAGGACGCGCTTCTGGGGACAGAGGGCGAGAGACAGGAAGGCAGGGTTAGGTCTTCAAAAGCTGGTTCTGAGGCTGCTTCTGGGGCCTTCCTGGCTGAGAACCCCTGAGAGCCATGTGGAGGGGTCCTACATTCTGAGCCCTATACAACTGAGGGTTTGTAGGACTGAGTATGAGGTCTGGGAGAGCTTGCGCCCTACACTTGGTAGTGTCTGAAGCCATCGGGGGCTTTCTCATCTTGTACAGTGGACACCCTCTTAGGACTGTGTCCTGGGATCTTGCGATCGGCAGTTATGATGTGGCTGGAAGGCGGCAGGGGTACCTGTGGGGTAGCTGTGGAGACAGACAGGGTGTAGAGTACTTCCCACGTGCCTGGTGGCTTCTCATTTTTATTTGTTTACTTATTTATTTTTGAGATGGGGTCTCACTGTCACCAAGTATAGTGGTGTGATCCTAACTCAGTGCAACCTTGACCTCCTGGGCTCAATCCATCCTCCCACTTTGGCCTCCCCAGTAGTTGGGACTATAGGCGTGTGCCACCATGCCCAGCTAAATTTTTATTTTTTATTTTTGTAGAGACAAAGTCTTGCTCTGTTGCCCAGGCTGGGTCTTGAATTCCTGAGTTCAAGCGATCCTCCCACTTTGGCCTCCCAGAGTGCTGGGATTGCATCCAGCCTGTTTTTAATAGTAGCGTTAATAGTGGTGGCTTGCATGTGGTCCCCAAGAGGCATGGTCCCCAGTTGGGGTGTGGCGGAAGGTGCTGAAACTGGCCTGGTCAGCACTGGAAACCCGTGTCTATCTGGATTTCTTGGACAGTCTGTTCCGGCCACCAGTGGGGTGACGAAGCAGCCTTGCACTTCTCCGGGAAAGGGGCTGGCTTCCTGGAGGAATTTGCTCAGCTCCCAGCCTCATCACTGAGGCCTAGGCTATGGCAGTAAGAGGATAAGCCCTTGACCTGCCTAGAAAACCCCATCTGCCATTGTCAAGGGTGGACTGGAATCTCTCTTGCCCATGTGTCTTTGGTGCTTCAAGAATTTCCAGTGCCTTCCAGTTTAGAGAGATGGCCTGGATCAGTGACTCCCTCTCCCTTGCCTTCCTGATTCCCAGAGGCCTCCCAGCATCTCAGGCACTGAGGGGGTGGGAAAGGACTGACTGCCCCATCCCAGGCCGGCAAGAAGGTGAATCTTGGTGACTGGGGCCTGGACTGAGCGTGCCCCTGAGGGAAGGCGGCCACCCCCTGACTTTCCCCATCCGTGGGCGCTGCCAGATGCACCCCCAAACTGCCATGGTCCCTGTGGAGCTGTGTGCGCCACCCACTGGGAAGAGTGAGGTGGGCCTGCAGGCCTCTGAGCCCTGGTGCCCTGCTCCCCTGTCCTGCCCACTGGTGAGGGTGGGCTGAGGAGTGACCCCGCAGGGCTCTCCTCCCCTCCTTTCCTCTTGGCCCAAGGGAAGAGGGGCATGTGGAGGACAGGCAGGCTGGTCATTTAGGCCCTGGAGGAAGGAGCCAGGTGAGCTGGCCTGCTCAGAGGAGCATGCAGCCCTAGACGGGGCTGGTCACGAGGTTCATCTGCTTGTCCAGAGGAGAAAGGGACCTGAAGGGCAGGGTGACCTCCTGGACAGTGCAGGGTAGCTGTGGAGAAGGACGGGCTTGCACCATGCAGGTCCTATGAGCTTAAGTCCCAGGGAGGGGGATGGCATGTCTGGTGACATACATAAGTGTCCCCTTGCCGCTACAGGCAGCTTGGGGTGCCGCTCCCTGGGCCAAAGGCTCTTTCAAGCACCAGGTGCTGCCAGGTGGGGTCCCCTCCAAGGTACCCTCCAGCCCTGGGAGGCCAGGTCTTCCAAGGAGCAGGCCTGCTCTGGGTGGGATGAATGGCTGGGCTGGTGGCCTGGAGGCCAGGTGCCCGCCGACCTTGCCAGCTCTAGGGCCCTTCCGTGCCTGAGATGAGGTGGCTGTCCCTTGGCATGTCTCTGCCTTCTTGGCCAGGGCCTGCAACAAAGTCTATCTGCTAACAGCCCCATGAGTGGGTGGCTTTTCACCATACCATATTCAAAATAAAGGATTTAGGATCCGCTTTGGGTAAGGGAATTGGGCAGGGACAGACAGGCCATGGAGGTGCCTCTGAAGACAGGCTTAGGGCTTTAGCCTGTCGTTTCATTGGGGCCGTCGTCATTGTGTGGTTTCCGTTCTCCTTCCACATCTACGCCCAGGCCTGAGCGACTGCTCCCTTCATCTCTCACAGAAATGAATTTGCATCCAGTAGAATGAAAAGCCCCATCCCTCACCTCACCAGCCATGCTGCATGTGGCTGGCGTCCCTCACTCTGTGACGGCACAGAGGCGTCTCTCCTCGCCAGGAGTTCCCTGGGACAGCACTGGTCTAGAGATGGGAGGGTCACAGGAGTCCCTGTCCTCTGTCCCTGCCACAGGGAGGCCTAGTAGGTGCCCCAGTGGGTGGACTCAGCTGTGATGGTGGGTGGGCAAAGGCAGGCAGATGGGTCTTGGGGACTGCGGGCAGTGGGAGGCGAGAGGAGGGAGGTGCTGAGGGCGGGTCCCTGGGATAGGACATGGAGGTGGTGTTTTACTGGTGATGGTAGTGATGGCATCTGGGGAGAGCAGGGCTGGAGTGAGACCACCAGCCTCGCCTGGGGCAGCAGGGTACACTGTGCCCGTCTTTTCCAGTCCAGCCCTGTCTGTGGGCCCCTGGCTCTGCAGCTCTGCTCACCTAGTACTCTCCTCAGCCCCAAATTGCAAAAAGCGGAACACCCAGGGTGGGTAAACCTATCTTGTGGTCACCAGACCTGGAGGAATGATGGACCACTCTCCGATCTGTCTCCCTGGCCTTCAGGGAGGCCCCTGACCCCCTGGCCTCCCTCTGCCCCCTTCCTCAAGTCCACTCACCAGGTCCCTGCCTTTCCAGGTGAAAGAACTGGTCCTGGACAACTGTCGGTCCAACGAAGGCAAAATTGAAGGCCTCACAGATGAATTTGAAGAACTGGAATTCTTAAGCACAATCAACGCGGGCCTCACCTCCATCGCAAACCTACCAAAGTTAAACAAACTCAAGAAGGTGATGAGGTCCCGGGAGCATGTGTGCTGGAGGCGAGTGGGGGCGGGGTGGTCATGGTGACCTCATGGGGGGGGGGCGACTCATGCATGCCAGGTGCTTGCACACCACGCCCGAGACCCTTCCCCCCCGGGCGGGCAGGGAACCTGCATTCTGAAAGCTGTTTCTGCTTTTCTCTCCCGCCTCACTTAGTTTGAACTAAGCGATAACAGAATCTCAGGGGGCCTGGAAGTATTGGCAGAAAAGTGTCCGAACCTCACGCATCTAAACTTAAGTGGCAACAAAATTAAAGACCTCAGCACAATAGAGCCACTGGTGAGTCACTCAGCCACCGACTCTGTGGGGAAGGTGGGAAGAGTGGGTGGTGGGATACTCCCTGCGCTTTTCCCTCTTCCTTTCTTTTCTTTTTCTTTCTTTCCTTCCTTCCACTCAATTTCTTCCTCCTTCCTTCCCTCCCTCCCTCCTTCCTTCCTGTTTTCCTTTTCCACTCAATTTCTCTTTCCTCCCTCCCACCCTCCCTCCTTCCTTCCTTCTTTCTTTATTTTTGTCAGTGGCATAATCACAGCTCATTGCAGCCTCCACCTTGTGGGCTCAGGCAGTCTTCCTGCCTTAGCCTTCTGACTAGCTGGGACTATAGACACACACCACCACGCCCAGCTCTTTTTTTTGTTTTGTTTTAATGTTTTTGTAGAGATGAAGACTTGCTATGTTACCCAGGCTGGTCTCAAACTCCTGGGCTCAAGCATTTCTCCCACCTCAGCCTTTCAATGTGTGGGAGCCATGGTGCCCGGCCATTTTCCCACTCAATTTCTTTGACTCTCGTTATATGCTATAAGATATAAGTGAGCTGCTGTTTCTGTTTAGTGCATAGAGAAACTGAGACCCAGTAGCTTGACCAGGGTCCTTTAGCCTGAATTGGCAGCCATTCACTGTAGAGGTAGGCGCAGGCCTGGTCCTGGCTCTGGCCTTGTCCCTCCCTGACAGTCTGTGTCTCTGTTGAGCATTGGAGACCTGGGCTGCAGGGCTTCAGGCTCGGGGTGTGGCTCGTGCCTTCCCTGAGGAGTAGTGGTCCAAGGATGAACCTGCCCTAGGGGTGGACCCCTGCTTTCTCCTTGGGTTGCTGGCCTCTGAAAGGTGGGAGTTTCCTTCCTGATGCAGGCCTTGGGACGCGGGACCTCATGCAGGCCGGCCTTCCTTGGGTGGTGTGGAGAAGGGCTCCTGGTCACTGGTCCTTGGTGTGACGGGCACCCGGGGAGTGTTTCTGGCTCCTGCTCATCTTCTAAGCTGAACATGTCCCAGGCCTCACTGATGGACTAGCCAGAAGGCCAGGTCATAGTCAGAGCAATGCTTTCAACAGTGCCAGAGACTGAGCCACAGCATTCCTTTGGCTTTGGCGACTTCCGCTGCAAGATGTGTCACTGGTCAAATGACGACTCCTTCAAAATGGAGAAAGACCAGCATATTCAGTAAACACACACATTGTAAATATGTATTTCGGAGTTGCCACAAAATCCAGGCATTTTAGAGTCAGGGGATGCTGGAGAACATTTTGCCAAGTTGCCCTTTTCTGAGTATATAGTTGGGTGTGTGTGTGTGTCAGGGGCTATCCCTCAGTTTGGGTTGGGTCTTTGGGGCTCCTGTCCAGGGCACTCTTGGCATCCACGGATGTGTTGCAGGCTGGGTGGTAGAAAAGGAAGCTGGCAGTTCTTTTCTGAGGGCAGGCTTGACCTGTCCATCTGTGGCATGGGGACAGTTCATAGAACCCACTTTCTAACAGAACTTCTCTGCAAGTCTTCCTGCTTTCCTAGGAGAGTGTAGACCTTTTTGATCTGCCTGGAAGTCTTGCTTGCATAATTAAATTGCAGAAGGAAACCCCTGGAGTTCCGTGTGTGTGTGGGGGGGGTAAGGTATTGAGCCCAAGTATATAAACTCTTGTGAGACAGGGTGACTCGGTCCCCGTTAGAGATCAGACACATGTGTGCATAATACACACCATCCTACTTCCCCAGCCAGTGTGGCCTGCTAACCCTCCCCTGGGGGTGGAAAGCTGTTCTGGTTGGTGCTGGGCTCACCCGCACAGACCGCTGCCCTGAGATCCTCCCTGCCTGTGGCCTGTCTGCACAGAATGATCTGGGTCGCAATCCCAAGGTGCTGAAGGGGCCCCCTGGCCCTCCTTGGGACAAGGACAGACAGCCTTGGAAGGGACTTTTTGTCCCTGGTATCCTGAAGGTAGGTGGGCTGGGAAGCCATGATGCAGCTCTGTTACTCACAAGCAGTGTGACCCTTCCCCTCCTGGGTCTCAGTTTCCTAGGCCATCAGGTGGAGTGAGTGTGGATAGCCCTCATCGGGGACAGATCTGGAGCCTCCCTGGCCTTCTGACCCCTCATAACAGGTAGCATTTCAGAGAGTAGGAACCCCGGGCCCACACGCGGGCTGCTCAGTGCCAATTCTGTGATCCCCGCCTTCCAGGGCTTGTGAGGGGACAGGCTTGTAGCATGCGGGACTGCAGGACTAGCCTCACCATCATCTGGCACAGGCATGAGTTAGCTGGTATCACTTTTTTCTTCCCCTCTGTGTCCTTTGTCACAGGGGCAGGATGCACACCGCTCACCCAGGTACCAGGCGAGCCGCGGGTTCACTTCATGCTGGTCACTGTGAAGGCATAAGCCACAGCTGCAGAATAAAAGTGCTTTGTACTGGGGAGGCTTCCAAGGTCCTCAATATGCCACCCCCATTTTCCAGCTAGAGACATGGAGGCGCCCCCCAGGATGATATGTCCCAGCAAAACCTGAGCCAGGTCACCTAACGGCACTTGGGTGTCTTGGGCCACCCATACCGTCAGTGCTGCCCACCTGTTTCTGAGGGCTGTTCCACCTCCCACCAGTCACTAACGGTCGACTTCACGTTTCTACCTGCAGAAGAAGTTAGAAAACCTCAAGAGCTTAGACCTTTTCAACTGCGAGGTGACCAACCTGAACGACTACCGAGAAAGCGTGTTCGAGCTCCTGCCGCAGCTCACATACCTCGACGGCTTCGACCAGGACGACAAGGAAGCCCCCGACTCAGATGCCGAGGGCTACGTGGAGGGGCTGGATGACGAGGAGGACGAGGAAGATGGTGGGTGGCAGGGGAGGGCTGAGGCCATGGGGTTCGGCTAGGCCTTGGGCAGCACCCCCCACCCCAACTGGAGGCTGGCTAGCTGGCCGCTGCTCTTCCCGAGGCTCTGATGGGGTGGGCTTGTCTGCTCTGTGTCCCATAGTTCCTAAGCTGCCTCGTTCTGATATCCCTAAAAGAACAGGCTGTGAACCCCGAGAAGCATCTGACCATAGCCCTTTAAAGTGTATCCCTGAATCTCCATTTCCAGGATGGTTTCTTCTCCAAAGCCCCCCAGGGAGTGAGCCCCTCCACAGTGTCTCTCTGGAGCGGGACCCTGGTCTTAGACACTCTGAAGTGGGGTGTGTGGCCTGAGGAACCCCTTTCTCATTTGGGTGTCTGGTGATGGAGAGGAGGGCGCGAGCTGGACGGGCTGTGGGGCCCCCTGGTGGCTGCAGCCCACAGGACCATAGGCCGGTGCCTGGGGGTATGGACTCAGAGCTCAGGAGGGATGCAGGGGCACTGCGGGCCACACATGGGCTCCCCTAGCAGTGCAGGAAGCATCCAGGACCTTCAGGAAGGGAAAAGGAAGAGGGGCGTCTCCTGCAGCTCCCCTCCTGCCTGCCTTGCTGCAGATCTCCCTGATCAGGCTAGCATGGGAAATCTGGACACTTGCCTCTGCCGTTCGAACCCAGGATGCTGTCTTTCCTTGTTATCTGGGGAGTCTTTGGCAGGGCCCTCAGAGAGCCTGCTTGCTATGGTGGGGTCTTGTGATGCGGCAGGAGGGACCCAAGGCTGGTGGTCCTGAACCAGGCTCCTGAACCCAGCGCCATCGAGGATCCTGTGTGTGGCCTTGAACCGGTCTGTTCTGTCTGAATCTCAAGACTCCTCACAGTTTTTTTGTTTGTTTGTTTGTTTTGAGACAGGGTCTCACTCTGTCCCCAGGCTGGAGTGCAGTGGTATGATCATAGCTCACCACAGCCTCAACCTCCTGGTCTTAGACAATCTTCCCACCTCAGCCTCCCAAGTAGCTGGGATTACAGGCACATATCACCACACCTGGCTAAGTGTTGCGTTTTTTTGTAGAGATGAGGTCTCACTGTGCTGCCCTTGTTGCTCTCGAACTCCTGGTCTCAAGTGATCCTCTTGCCTCGATCTCCCAAGGCTCTGGGATTACAGGCGTGAGCACAGTGCCCAGCTGAGGTTTCTCACCTTTAATGTGAGGAGTTTGGCCTCAATACCCTTGCTAAACAAATTGACTTGGCAATTCTCCCAGGGCCCGGAACTTGTCCTCTGACCTAGCAGTTTCTCAGTGGTCCCAGCCTCCAGCAGCGGTCTCCACTTTCACAAGACTTGTGGGCAGGGCCTGTCTCTGAGATCCCTTCAGGATGAGTTGCTCTTGCTGGTGTGGTTTTCATGAGAGCTGGGGCATGCAGTCATCGAGCTTCAGCGGGGGTGGGAGGGCCATGGGCCCTGAGACCCCAACCCCTCTGCCAGGCCCATCCATCTGGGCCAGTGCCATGTGTGGGAGAGGCTGGCTCACCACCAGTTCTGGTCTGTTCCCCTTCGACTGCACAGAGGAGGAGTATGATGAAGACGCAGAGGCAGTAGAAGATGAGGAGGACGAGGATGAGGAGGAGGAAGGCGAAGAGGAGGACGTGAGTGGGGAGGAGGAGGTAAGGAGGTCTGGCGGGTGCCAACCCCGGGTGGCCCTCGCTGGCTGCCTCTGAGTCAGTCCTGGAGCCCTGAGGGCTCCCCAGGGGCAGTGAAATGGGTCTATGTCAGAGCTCCTCGCCTGGCTGATTCTAGGGAGGCAGGACTGGCACGAGGTCTGGAGATGCTGGATCGGGGAGGAGGAGAAGGCTGGGGCAGGGACTCGGCTACTGGGGCTGCCCACCCGTGTTTCCATGTGAGGAAGTGCAGAGTCCATGTCCCCACTGCTGTTTATTTTCGTCTATAAGTTAATGAGGCTGTTGACCAGCACTCACAGCTGGGGAGACCCTGAGACCGTCTAGGGGGACAGGCAGCAGGTTCAGGCCCAGCCCAGCACTCCCAACTGTGAGGACCCGAGACCATATGGGGGGACAGGTAGCCAGTTAACGTTGGGCACAGGTCATGTGATGGGTCACCTGCACCCTGTGGAGACCATGTGCTGGGGTTGGCCGCTGTCCTAACAGATATGGGTTCTGTGGGGGTCACCCGGGCTGGAGGTCAAGGGCAGCCTGTGGATAGGCGAGGCAGCCCTGCCCCTTGCTGGCTATGTCCCCAGACAAGTCACTTGGCCTTCTGAGCTGTGTCTTCATCTGTGAAGTGGGGACCATGCCTTCCTCACAGGGGTGTTAGGAGGGTGGAATGAAACTTTAGTAAAACGTGCACAGCCAGTGTCTGGCAGGCACGCGTTGGGTCCCTTGCAGTGGGCATCATGCCTCCCCTGGCTCCTGCCACATGTGCTGGGTTCTGTGTCTGGATGTTCTGAGTGTCTCTAGCAAGTCCTTTCCCATGACTTGCCCGGAATTATAAATCAACTCTTGCTCACTGCAAATGTTAGGCCCGGAGATTTAAAGGGATGGTAGTACATACGCGGTGTCTGCCTCCCCCGCTTCCCGCCTCCCGGGGTGGAGGCTGCAGGCATCCTCCTACCACACACCTCGCTTAGCCGGGCTCTCCCGCCAGCCCCTCTGGCCCACCAGAACCAGGAGGAGCCAGCCGGGCGATGAGCTCAGCTCCGTGCAGCTGTGTCTCTGGGTTTCTCTCAGCTGCTAGGCTTTCCTGGAAAGGGTATTGTGAGCATTTTAAAAAAACAAAGTTTATTGGCTAGTTGCCCTGGCCGATGGGCTGGCATCTGGCCCTCCCGGCACAAAAGCCACAGCGTGTGGTTTCGGGGGTCTCTGTAGCTCCAGCTTCCAGTCAAGGACCAGACTCCTACATAGACTGACGGGGTGCTATTTGGTGACATCGTGAGAGAATATTTCCCTTGACAGGAAGAAGTCTGTCGCTGGGCTCTTGAGAACAGTGGGCTGCCCAGTGCATTAGGAAAAGGGCTCAGCATGCAGCAACTCCACTAGCCTCCTGCTTCAGGGGCAAGTCCTTGTGGAGAGTGAAGCCCCAGTCCCTGCCAAAGCCCCAGGCCCAGGCCAGGCATGGTGCTCATGCCTGACATCCCAGCACTTTGGGAAGTTGAGGTGGGAGGGTCACTTGAGCCCAGGAGTTCGAGACCAGCCTGAGCAACATATCGAGACCTCACCTCTATAAAAATTCAACAAATTAGCTGGGAGTGGGGGCATGTACTTGGAGTCTCAGTTACTTGGGAGGTTGAGGCTGCGTCGAACTGTGCTCATTCATGCCAGTGCACTCCAGCCTGGGTGAAAGAGTGAGACCCCAACTCAAAACTCAGAAATAAATAGGGGTGGGGGGGTGGGAGAAGGAAGTCAGTCCTAGCCTGTTTGATAGACAAGAAAAGGAAATACACAGATAAAAAAAGAGTGAAGCAAGACTGTCTTTACTGCAGACAATATGATTGTTTACATTGAACATCTTTTAAAACATTTTTAAAAATACTAAAACTGAAAAGTGAATTTGAGAATGTTGCATAATGCAAGGTCAATATACAAAGTAAACTGTATATGTATATAATAGCAACAAACAATTTAAAATGAATTTTAAAAAATAACACAGGAGTTCAAGGCCAGCCTGGTCAACATAGTGAGACCCTGTCTATATCAAAAAAAAAAAGAAAAAAAAGCTCAGGCCAACTGGGTGTGATGTCCTCGGGAGCCCCTGAATTTATCTCTCCCTCCCCTCCCCTTGAGGTGACCCTCCCTTCCAGGTGGTCTGAGTTTAGAAGACAGTGAGGGGGCTGGCAAGGGTAACATTGGACTTGCTGGAGCTGGGGTCTTCCACAGAAGGGAGAATGGAGGCAGATGAGGAAGGGGCGACCTACGTGACATGACAGGGAGTCTGCCCAGGGCACACACAGGCTGGAGACGGCCTGCTTTGGACCCCAGGGAGGACCTCTTCCGCCCACATGCCCTGAGATTGCTTGTAAAGATTGTATGTGATGTAGGTGTTATCCAAGGAAGGAGTTCAGAACTTTCTGCAGATTATCAAGTGAAAGCTTGGTCCAGAATACATTCAGAGCCTCTGCTTGATGTTCATCCTACTTGACGTTCAGCCCTAGGGGCGGGGGTCTTTGAGTGCCCACAGGCATCTGCCACCCTCACTGCGCTCAGTGCCAGGGAGGGTGGTTTCCGATGTTCCATGTCTGCTTTTCTCCCAGGAGGATGAGGAGGGCTACAACGATGGGGAGGTCGACGATGAGGAGGAAGAAGAGGATCTTGGCGGTATGGCAGCCTTCTGACTCTCGGCGGGCAGTGGCCTGGCGCCACGTGGGCATGAGCTGCTTGGGCCCTGAGGACCCGGCGGTGGGCAGAACACTCCCCTGCGGCCCTGGGGTTCTGGGCCCCTGGCCCTACACACCCTGCCTTGGTCTCCAGGGAGGCCAGAGCCTCCTGATGGTGTGACCCCAGGTCCTCTTGGGTGGGCTGAGCCACAAGGTGGGGCGGGCGCCTGGTCTAATGCAGTTTCTTCCTCTTCCAGAGGAGGAGAGGGGACAGAAGCGGAAACGAGAGCCCGAGGATGAGGGCGAGGAGGACGACTAAGCTGAATCACCGTTTTGAGAAATTCCTATTGTGATTTGACTGTTTTTACCCATATCCCCTCCCCCCCTCCAAATCCTGCCCCCCGAAACTTATTTTTTTCTGATTGTACCGTTGCTGTGGGAACGAGAGGGGAAGGTGTTCTGGGGGACGCGGGGGGAGGGCGGGCGGGAGGTGTGGAATAAAAGACTATTTTTACTGCCACTCTTTATTTTTTTCCCCTCCTTTTTCTTGTGTCTGGTTTGGTCCCTGTGAACGCAATAGCTGAGTGCACCCCATGCGAGCATCCATCCTGGGCTCAGAGTTCTCCTAACAAGGGCGTTCCCCGAGTCGCTGGGTGGGGTGGGAGGCCGAGCCTGGCCTCTGTCTGGATGCTCGGAGCCCAGGGGATGCTGAGCCTGGCCACGCTTCAATTCTTGCTTTTTGGGCCCCGTGACGCCTGCTTTTCTCGGCCTGCTAGAGGCACTCAGCACCCTGGTGTGTAAATAGCGACCTCACGGCGTGTTGTGGCCCTGGTTTGGGGACACTCTCCATCTCTCGCCCCCTTCCCCCCCCTCCCAGATGGTGGTGGGCTTTGCTCTCCAGAGGACCCTGATGTTACTTCTTGAGAGCTTGTGAGTTACGAGGAAAATGGATCTGGTCATTACCTTGAAAAGAAGAAGCAAACCCTCACACCTCAACTTCTTTAAAAGAAAAAAACAAAAAACCTATCTTGTTCTGTAACATATTAGAGCGCTTTGTTTTTCCAAAGTGACGAGAGAATTCTTCCACACGTATGTCCACGCTTAGAGCAGTTTACAGACCTGAGCGCTGAGACACTGCTGCATGACGGCTGGGTTGTTTTTCGTTGTTGTTTTTTTCATACACCCGAGCACGGAAAAACTAACGCAAAATTGTATTTTCTTACCTAGTGAAAATCTGAAATGACTGCGAATTCCTAGTGAATGTACAGGTTTGCTTCCATGTCCCCAAGAGATTGCTCTAGAAGTGATGTGTTTCCTAACCCATGTTTCATCTGTACAAACCACATCTGCACCTGTTTTTCTCCGGCTCCTCAGAAGAGCCAAACTGAGTTTTATGTCTGTTTGTCATTGATAAATTTCAATAAATCTTTTTATACAATTTTCTGGGGGATGACTTCTTTGAGTCCACCAGGCCCTTGATCCTTCTAAGACGTGTTCCCAGCAAGTGGGCGGCTGAAGGAAGCTTCATTTTTGTTACCTGATAAGATAGCTTTTCTTATGGGATGTCTGATGGAATATTAAGTTTGGATATTTTTGGTCTCAAAACAAGACTCAGTGGTGTATCATTATTAAAAGCTTCATTTAAAAAAAGATAGTGTTACTTATTTTTAAAAAGCCACCCGAATGGTCACCGAGAAGTTGGTCCAAGCTTGAACCCTGTTTTGAATATCACTGTTTGTTTTTCGTATTGTAAAAAGAATGTATGCTTGAAAACTCAGGAATGTATAAAACAAATTATTTCACAAACCCAGAGGTTTACAAATGGTGTTTTATTTTGTTACTTTTGTACTTACTATTATTGTGATCATTTCTCTCCATCTCTAGTTTTTGAAAGCACGTGTCTTAAGTGGCTACACAGTCACCCATCAACTATTCTCATGTGCTTAATTCTAACCAGATGTTCAGAGGTTTATTTCCAACTTACTTCTAGAGTGGATATGATGATGTAAGTACTCATACCTTTTGTGCATTTCTTGGTACAGACTCTTAGAAGCAGGGTCACTGGACCAAAAGTTGTAACATTTACAAGACTCACGTACGAGGTTCCATTGTTTTCCAGAAGGGTCAGACTGACTAATTGTGGTTGTGTGCACACACACACACATACTTCTCAGCCTCATAGTCTTGAGCCCCACCGTGAGCCCTTGGTTCCTTACGGTTTATGTGTGGCTCCAGGATGTGTTGCTCCCAGAAGAGCCTGTGACCCACCACACCCTCAGGCAGTGCCCTGACACTTGCTACCATCAGGGGCACACTGCTTCCAGCTCTGGGATTGGGAGGTGGCCTCCTGGCTGAGGGCTCTGAGGGTGAACAGGCCGGGGTGTTCAGGTCCTCAGAGCTGGAGGAAGAGCAGGTGAGGGAGACGCGTGCCTGGACTTGGGTTTTCTGACCCCGACCTTCCGTCGTTGACGTGGAAGGAAATGTCGTGAGGCAAGTGAGCGAGAAGGGTGGATGTGGGTAGGCCAGGGTGCAGATCCTTCTTGTGTGAATGGTGCCAGGAATCGCACCAACACCACTGTGCTAGGCCCACTTTACGGTGAGGAAAAGCAGGCTGAGTAACTTGGAAGTAACCCAGGTGAAACCCTGGTCCATCTGGGGCCGTTTCCATCTTGAATTTGTGAGTGCCCTGGAGGAAGAGGAGGTTTGGCCAGCGGTGGGTAGGGAAGTCTGCCTTCCTGAGTCTTGCTGTGCAATGGGCCCTTCAAGTGCAGCCTCTCACCTGTTTTTTTGATTTTGAGTCGGTGGTCTCACTCCGTCACCCAGGCTGTGGTACAGTGTGGCAAAGTTATGACTCACCGCAGCCTTGACCTCAGCTCACTCAGGCAATCCTGCCTCAGCCTCTTGAGTAGCTGGCACTACAGGCGTGCACCACAACACCTGTCTATTTTTTGTTTGTAGGGATTGGGTTTCCCTATGTTGCCCAGGCTGGTCTTGAACTCCTGGCTTCAATTGCGCCTCCAGCCTCGGCAAAGTGCTGGGATCACAGGTTTGAGCCTCTGTGCCCAGCCTCACTCACTGAGTCATCAGAGCCACCTTCCATAGGTGCTATCGCCCCTGGGACACCTGTGGCCCCAGAAACAACTTGCTCAACATCACACAGCCAGACAGAAAAGCCCACCAGAAAGGAGAGCCCTTGGGCTGTTCCACCAAGTGCTCCAGACCTGGCTTGTCCTCACCCCATCCCCAGCCAGCCCCACGAGGGGGGTGTCAGCCCTCCATGTAGGACAAATGCCACAGGACAGGCCCTCAAGGGAAGAGCCCTTAGAAGTCACCCAGTGCCATTGGCCTATTTGACAGAAGAAAAAGCCCAAAGCCCAGAAAGAATGATGTACTTGAGGCTACACTGAAAGGAGTGATAGCCCAGGCCCATCCCGGGCTTCTGCAAAGTCCCACTGCTGCTGTGCCACATGGTTGTGGGAGGCAGCTGTGTGACCAGCAGGAAGCTGTGGAGCAGAATGTCCTTCAGGAAGACAGCTGAGCCTGAGTGGACAGCATGGTGAGTGCCACGCCCATCTGTGTCCTGCGGCATGGACAGCCTGCAGCACCTTCACACAGTGGAGCCAGGCCTGGGTGCTGTCAGATTTGCCCGCCTGGAAGGGCCAGGTATTCCCTGGCATGGGCCAGTGCTGAGGGGCCGTGAAGGTGCTCCTGGGTCCTGAGTCCCTGCTCTGTCCAGTGTGTCACACTCCCAGGGGTGTCACAGGGGAAACCGAGGCTCAGAAGCGAGACGATGTGCCCAGCCAGGAAGTGCCATGCCTCAGACGTCAGATGTGTTTCTGACACCAGAGACCTGTTTCAGGCAGCTGAGGGCAGGGGCTGGGCAGTTGGTCTCATTTGCTGACTTGCAAAGGCTGTTTCAATCCTGGTTCAGAAGCTCATTGCTTGAGGCTGGAAGGGCTCCTAGAGCAGTTCCCAACAAGTGGCTTTGGACACTTTGGACACCGGGACCAGGCCTTGGAAAGGCCCTGGCAGCAGCCCAAGTCCAGGGTGAGCAGGCCAAGGAGGGGGCAGGCGATGGCTGCACAGCAGGGACAGGTCCGTGGCTGAGTCACCTGCCTGGGGCCCTCGAGCTGGCCCTGGACAAGTCAGCAGAGGAGAGACCCGGAAGATCCCCCGGTGGGGCACTCGGGGCCAACAGCTGCCAGGAACTGACTGCCAGGTACCTGTTTTTCTCAGTCGGGCAGCAACGTCAAGGCACCACAAGAAGGACTCAGGCAATGTGGACCATTCTCCACTCCTGACGTTCAGACAGCCCGTCCCCCACCCCTCTGGGCTCCAGGGTGAGCGAGTAACTCCGTCCCAGCCAGTCAGCCTATTCCAAACCATGAGCTTCCTGGTTCAGAGCAAGACATGCGACCCAAATGGGCCAAATGAGGCCTGACCCTGGGATTTGGAAAACGAGACTCTTCCCCTTGGGGGTAATTGGGCCAGAGGATGGAGCCTGGAGCTGTGGAGGCTCAACCTCGAAGACAGCCTGCCAGAGCATGGAGCCAGAGCCAAGGGAAGCTTCCAGATGGTTGCAGCTCCTCCTGAAGGAGCCCTGACGAATACAAGGTGTGGGGAAGCCACGCAGGCAGGACTCCTGCTTGCTGAGCACGACGCGTTATTCTTGTTTTTCATCATAACCTGATCTGGTAATCATTACCATCCTCATTTCAAAGTTTACCCCAGATAAGTGCTTGGTAAATATTAGCTGCTTAGTGCCAGACACAACAATACGTGCATTATAAGACTCGACCCAGTGTTTCCCAAATCTCCCTGATAAGAGTCCCCAGGGCTTGTCAGACTTGCCAGGCCTCAGCCTTGGGAATTCAGGTCAGTAGTTCTGATGGGGACCTGGAATCTGTTTTCAACAAGACCCAGAGGATTCTCATCATGAGGCAAGCTTGGGCAGTGCTGCACTCAGCACCCACAGCCACCAGGGAGGAAGGTGTTATGGCAGTACTAATTTAAGTTTGGGGGAAGGGAGGTCCAGAGAGGTTGAGTGATGGACCCAAGCTCTCACAGGAGGTGGGCAGGGGAGCAGGGATTCGAATCCAGGTCCACATGCCTTTCGCACCTCTCGTAAGCGGGGTTGATAACAGCATCATAGGTTGTGAGATGATGGAAAAGAAGGAGCAGCCAGACGTGGAAGGTGAAAGTTGCAATTTGCAAAAAGATCAGAATCAGGCATGGCGGCTTGTACCTGCAATCCCAGCACTTTGGGGGATGACTTCAGCCCAGGAGTTCGAGACCAGCCTGGGTAACATAGCAAGACCTTGTCTCTACATAAATTAAAAAAAAAATTAGCCAAGCGTGGTGGTGCACACCTGTAGTCCCAGCTACTCAGGAGGCTGAGGTGGTAGGATCACCTAAACCCAGGAGGTCAAGGCTGCAATGAGCCCTGATAGTGCCACTGCACTACAGCCTAGGTGACAGACTGAGGCCCCAATTCCAAAAAAAAAAAAAGATGTCAAGGCCAGGTATGGTGGCTCATGCCTGTATTTTCAGTACTTTGGGAGGTTGAGACAGGAAGATTGCTTGAGGCCAGGAGTTCAAGATCAGCCTGGGCAACATAGCAAGTCCCTTCATTTAAAAACAACAAAAAAGATGCCAGTTTCATGGTAAAGAAGCCCAAGGAGAAAACAAAGTTTTAAATGCCACTAAGTAATAATATAATCTACTTGGAGTTTCCCCCCTCCTTTTAAAAATCTACATGTAGTGAAATTCATTAATTCACTCTGTGTCAGCTGCCACAGTCTTTGATCTGGTCCATGGACTCTCGGTTATAAAAAGGAATGCTCCCTCTAGGAGCATCCTCAGTCTTGCTAGCTGCCTTCTGCTGGTACCACACATCTTGGCCGGGGCTCCGGGCAGGAGCCTGGATTTTCATCATGGCTCCAGAACTCACTAGCTGGGCAGTCGCTGCAGACTAGTCCCTATGTTGTCTACAAAAGCAGCAATGCAGCAAGATGACTCTCAACAGGTTTAGGTGACAGTTGACTGTGTTACCTCCCTCAGTGCCCAGAGATCTCTGGTTCCATCTATTTCACACATGAAAGTTGGCATTCCCTGGCCAGAACTCCACGGAGGTAGCTGGAAGGGCCAGTGTGGGACACAGGTGTCTCGGTTGAGAGAGGAGCTCTGATAGAAAGCAAACAAAACAGTTTTTCGAAGTCTCCACACACAGACGGGAGGCCTGTCTACAGACACCTGCCTTTCCTGGGTGGACCTAGCCAGGGCGCACTCCATGTGTGCCCAGAGCATGGTATTTGTGATTTTGTGTCATTCTCCCAGCAGAATTCTCTCGACTCTCCAGCTGAAGAATTAAATAAAAAATTAGCCAGGCGTGGTAGCGCATACCTGTAGTTCCGGGTACTTGGAGGGCTGAGGAGGAAGGAAGGATCACTGGAGCCCACCATGGCGAGGCTGCGGTGGTCGGGAGCGTGCCACTGCACTCCAGTCTGGGTGACAGAGGTTCAGAGACACGACATAAGTGCTCAAGGTCACAGTTGGTAAGGCACCAGCCGGGATCAGACCCCACCGCTTCCTGGTCCCGTGCGTGGAGGTGTTTCCTGCGTTCTCAGTCCTGCGTGCAGCCCACAGCTCGC